GTTGGTATACCTGTCCGATCACACTGTTTCCCTGGATGCCGTGTTTCAAAAAGGGCAGTTTTGATGTTTGTGAAGGAATCACTCTCATGACTCATCAAGTGACATAATTGACTGGCATCACATGGTGGCATGGAGTCTATTGACGTCACAGTTTCAGATCAACTCAGGTTGCTCAGAACGACTGCTCTAGTATGTATCAGGTGCTGCCACCTAATAGAAAACCCTAAAAAACAGAGTCAAGTCAAGATGAGCAAAGTAGATACTAGTGGAAAAGAGCCATACAAGTCTGTAGTGTGGAATATATTGTAATATGTAAGATGTAATTTAGTACCTCGCTTACATCAGGGCGTTAAAATAATAAAATGCCAGAATGACTGCAAATTAGTAACGTCTGTTTATGTGTGGCAGGCTTAATTCATGTAGGGGATGAACTGAAGGAGGTCAATGGAATCCCTGTGGACGACAAGAAACCAGAGGAAATCATTCGTATTCTAGTAAGTCTTATCTTTCTATGGACGTTTGTGACACTGAGGGTTTTTCAGCTCCACTCCCTTGGTACCAGCCTTTGTTTATAATGACAGAAACCTCCCCTTATCAACTCATCCATGACCCAGGCCTCCCATTGCCGTGTTGAAACCAAACTCTGGCCTTTCTCTGAAAGTCTGTCTTGGCCGATAGATCACATGCATTGAGTCTCTGTGGATGAGGCCGATGATGTGTAGTTCCTCCACGCAGGCCTAAATGAGCTCTGTCATGTGCCTGGGATCTTAAACTCTTAAGGCCTCCTCAGACACAAAAGTCTTTGAGCTCTCAACACTCCTCCTTTACACCCCTGCACTGTACTCCCTAATTCTGTCAAGAATAGTTATACTATCCCACTAAACCTTCCTTTGTTGAAAAACCAATGCTTGAGGCTATGTCACTGTAACTAGATTAGGTCTCTTATAAAATACTTAAAAGGATTGGAAAACTATCCTTTAAAATTACTCCAACTTCTGTTCCTACATTATTTAGGCACAGTCACAAGGAGCCATTACCTTTAAAGTTGTCCCTGCTGTAAAGGAAGAGGCATCTATCAAGGAGCCACAGGTAGGTCCTGTCTTTCTCGGTTATTTGGTTTATCCACTTGTTAAGTGATTTAGACCCTTTGATAGTGGAAAGTCACTGAAAGACCATCTTGGCCATCACTTGCAGCGTTTACCATCGATTGCTGTAATCTTTTGAGAATAATCACTCTGAGCTTTGGTGAATCACCTTTAACCATGATGACAATGTTTTAGAAAGAAAACATTTTATATACAACATAGTGAACTTGTTCCTGTTGTGTCTTCAATCCTCTTTGTTTTCTTGCCTTTCCCTCATGATGATGTAAAGATGTTTGTGAAGGCGCTCTTTGACTACAACCCAAAAGATGACAACACCATCCCATGTAAGGAAGCTGGTTTGCCCTTCAAGAAGGGTTGCATCCTACAGATCATGAGCCAAGATGATGCAACCTGGTGGCAGGCCAAACACGAGGGCGACACAAATCCTCGTGCTGGCTTAATACCATCCAAACAGTTCCAGGAGAGGTGAGAAAAATAAGGCTGACCTTATTGGCTTCAGTGCTGTTACTGTCATAGATGTTCCATCTTCTTTCTCTCCCTCTCTTTAATCCATGTATTCTTGCTTCACTCTGCCAAAGTAGTCTGGGTTTCCACACATTTTCTGGTCCAAAGTGAGTAATGACAGAAAATGATAGCGCTGGTACCAATCCACATTAAACTGCAAGTGGATGGAAAACGCACATCAGACCTAAACAGAACTCAGGAGGCTTGGGCAGAAAGAGGAAGGCTGAAGAGTAAACCTGAATTTTATATTCAGGTTTATTAATCTACTTTTGTCAATAGAAAGATGTTCTGTTCTTCACCTCCTCAATCTTTGGTTTCACCAGTCTCAGCTGACAGAATAGAAATGAAGGATATTGTAGAGCAGGGTTTCTGTAGCATAGCAGAGTGTTTATTATTCCCAGAGTGACCATAAAAACTGATGGTTTTCTTTTTTCTGTTCTTTCCTTTTTCTCCTTTTTCAGGAGACTTGCATTTCAGCAACCTGTTACAACTCTTTCGTCCCTAAGGAGGTCTACTAGACGATCATGTAAGCATATATTATTTGCTGTGTTAGCGACTAATAAACCACAACAAGACAGTTATCTTTAACAGGTGGATGGGATGAAGAGAAGAATGGCAAAAGTGAGGAATGCTGGTCAGGACAGTTTGTGGAGTTCATTTCTGAAACAGACTCATCCTTCTGCTTGATTCCACCACTGGAGTCTTTCGTGTAGTTGTGTAGTTCACGCTGGTCGTCTGGAGAAGCAATTTAGATTTATCTTTGTTTT